GGGACTGTCACGGGGTGCTACGGTGAGGAGCACGGAACGAGGAAACCAGGAGTACAAACCAATGAGTTTATTTCAATCGCGGGGAATCACACGTAGCACAAGGGAGTTGACATAAACAATACCAGACAACACTAACTAAAAGGACTCGGACTTTTAAACACAGGATGACGAGGGACTAAGGAGACACGCCTGGGATCACTGGAAATTACACATGGGAAACACCTGGGATGAAATTAACAGAATACGCGGGAGACAGAAACTGGGTCACAGAAAAACACACACAAAACACGGGACAGAGTCTGACATAACGCCCCCCTCCGGAAGGCGTGTCCTCACGCCATATAACATCCAACGGGGAGGGAGCTGGGCGCTCTGGAGGTCAATATTCTATTTCCCCTGGGGCATTCATCATGGTAATTACTTGCTGGGGTTTTGCGGCAAGCTTTGCGTGCGCTTTAATGTGGAACTCTTCCAGCACTCGCTGCTGCTGCTGGACACTAAACACTGTCAGGCCCAATGCCCGCCCGCATCTAAGCTATGACACCCGTCGGGCTCTGGCTGAAATGCAGGACTCTAAAGCGCAGCTTGTTGCGGTTAAGCAGCAAAAAATACACATAAAATGACGCCAAAATGGCCATCCTGGCCACACAGTTATATAAATGATAATATTCAGTGATGTGATATGTGAAATGTGGAGTAACGTCTGGCGCAGTTGCAGCTTGTACTTATTACTAAAACAAGAAAGCAAACAAGTAGCATTAATAGTCATTAATTTTAGTTAACAGATTTTATTCTTATTGTAAAATAATGGAACATTTAGGTCATGAATATTGTCTCAAAAGTCATGGAAAACTCATGGAAAAGTCATGGAAATTTATTGGTAAAAATGTGTACGAACCCTGTAAGATAATTTGAACAGATTTTTATTCTTATTGTAAAATAATGGAACATTTAGGTCATGAATATTGTCTCAAAAGTCATGGAAAAGTCATGGAAATGTATTGGTAAAAATGTGTACGAATCCTGAATAAATTGCTCGTTTTGATTTAATGTTGATTTTCAACAAGTTTTAGTGTCATTTCTCAACTGCTGTCTCTTTGCATGTGTACAGGTTATCCAGGAGGTTACCCTACGACTGCCCCGACCTACACAGCCAACCTTTACCAGACAGGTAGCCCGGGATACCCACCAGGTGTGTACACACACTCACACACATGCTTTCTCAGTGCTGTCCAGTGTACATGGAGTATTACACACTTACATTAGCAAAAAACACATGATGCCGAACATTTACACACTTTAGTGATCCATTAACACCAATGAAACACATGCAGCATTCACAAACACATTAATGCATTACACTGTCTAGCCTCGTTTTGATGATGCTGGCCTGTAACTGAACAGTTAAACAGTGTATTACTGTTCTGTACTGTAGTGCTGCTTCCAGCTTTGACGTACATACAACATCTTCATAAGGGTTAGAAAAATGGCTTCATTTGTATTCGTGTAACTCGAAACTACTGATGTATAAAGCCACTGCTTTGTTTCTTTATGAGCTGCTTCCTGAAATGATTTTAGTCAATACATCTGTGTGTGTCTCGATCTGGAGAGATGTGTGCAAATGATATTTTGAAGTTTTTCAGGTGTAAGTCTGCATCATTTGAGTGTGAAATTCAGTCTCTAGAGGAACCAGACACAGAGAGGATGAGTCATGTGAAGAAGGTTGACTTTAATGCAGATCATTTCCCATTAGTATTGTGTTAACAGGCTTGTTTGAGCCAGCGCTGACTCAACTTTTAGCATGGTGATTAACACTGTTTTGTTAAAAAAATGAAACCGGATTTGTGCTGTAAGCAGACATTTTTGGATCAGGATGTAAATGGTGCACTAGTGGATTGGTTTGTGAGGTCTGTGGTGTGATCAGTGCCGTCCTGAACAGATGCTTGTATCATTTCTGTCTGTAATGTTATGGCATGCCAATAGCCATTTTCAGATGCTGATACAGTCTGTCTTAGATCAGAGATCAAGTTGACATTTTGCTGATGGAATCAGGTTTATATATATATAAATTATTATTCATATTTTTATGTTTGGTCTAGTTTCTGGCTTGTTTGGATGTGATCTTAGATATCAGTAAATTATATTTTTGGTTGACCTGCACTTAATTTACATGATCTGATACACTTTCTCAACAAGTTTCTTTGGTTTCCACCCAGTATCTCCATTACATGCATTTGGAGCTCAAAGATTTCTACAAGATCGTTTTTGTCATAAAAAATACCATTAAAATACATATTACAAAAAAAATTGTCTGTGTGATAAGGCTAGTGGTTATTAAATGCTAAATACAAAGAATAAAATGCAACTAAATGATAAAGAGCATAATTGGGATAGCAAATCATCAGCTTTTAGAAGCTAATTTTTATATTATATATATATATTTATTTATTTATTTTATTTTATTTTATTTATTTTTTTAAAGACATTGATTTTTTATTTCTGTCCCTTTTTTCTCTCTCCATGACTTGTATGTTTATATATTTCACATGACAGTAAAATAAGAATAATAAAAGTGCCATTAGTGATTTATTTTAAGAATTACAAAATATGCTAATGGTTTAGCCATTATGTTTATCTTCTGAGTTTAGCACATTTTTACAAAAGCTGGAACATTTTCATTCATATTATTGATTTTAAAAACTATTAGCAATTAATCGGTCATCTGCCGCATTTTCCAATTTTAGTTATCCATATCGACAAAATCCATTATTATTTATTATTATTATTTATTTTATGTCGGTTTTTTTCTCTCTCCACTAATAGTACATTATTTATATATTTCACATGACAATAAAATAAAAATTATAAAAATGTCAGTGGTGATGAAGCTTAGCTATTTGTATGTATTTGAATTTATTTTAATACTTGCAAAATATTCTCATGGTTATAAGTCATTGTTCATTTTCTAATAATGTTTAGCGCTAGCTTTACATATAAGTGAAAAGTTTTCACACGTTATTGATTTTAAAAACGATACTAACTATAATAGGCTATCAGCCATATTTTGCGGTTTTAGTAATCAGAATAGGCAAAATCTGCTAGTGGTCGACCTCTATTATCTATTACACATATGCATCTTTAAGACCATTCTTCCTACAGTATCATAATGTAATCATTATTATAAGTATCATGGTTATCATACTAGATATCTGAATCAGATATAAAGCCCTGATGCATGCTTGCATAAGCGCAGAGCTGTAATGCTGCGGTAAAGTCATGTGTGCTATGCGGCAGAGTCCCATGCCATTGTGATTCCAGCACCCTCTCTCTCTCTCTCTCTCTCTCTCTCTCTCTGTCTATCTCTCTCTCTCAGTCCCTCTGTGCTCTCTTGTGTTTGGGAACATTGCATGAGTTCACACAATCGCCCCCTTGTGGCTTTGGCAGGATTGCTGTATTGGGAAGGAAGGCTTACAATTAAATACCTTTTAATCACTTTGCTGATGCGTTTATCTGACGTAACTTCCAGCAATCTTATTACAGAGACAGTCCTCCTGGAGTAACCCGGGTTGCGTGGCTTTCTTACGGCCAATAGTTCATGATCTCCCTTTGAGGGATTTTTAGCCTACAGTGAACCTTGCTTAGATCTTTAACCTCTATGCCGACACATAAAGTCATATGGGTTCGCATTCTACCATATTTCTAATACTACTTTTGCGGTATATATAGCATAACAGCATAAACTCCACAGATAACGATTACTACATTTGCCAAAATGTGCAGTAGATGTTTGTAGCACACTTAATCTTCCATTGCCAGGGTGACGAATAAACCATTATGAACCATAGATCATTTTTAACACGTCTCTTTGTTGATTGAACTGCCAAAAGTACGACATTTTACATAAAATTGGATTAAAGTGCAAAATAACCTTTCTGTGATGATATAACTAGACTCCACATGCTAAATTAAAAATGCAATATAGTATATACTGCATTGTATGCAAGCTTTCCAATCCATTCAGTTGTAATCCATCATTCTGATAACCGAATTTAAGGTTTTAAAATCTTTTTGCACTGCCAGATGTTGGCACATTTAATACAAAATTGAACTAATGATAGAAAATAAAGTGATTAGGTCACACACATGTGTCACACAATAGTGACGCATGTGTGTAACCCTTCTTGTGTTGTTGTGTTTGTTTGGGACAGTGCTGCTGGTGAAGCAGGCCTGGCCCCAGACGGCATCTGCTCCGGGGCCCGCAGAAGGCTCCTATGACCTGGCCATGGACGCTGGCTCAGAGAGCAGGCAGTACCAGGCCTCATCTACAGCATTCAGTAAATATCATTACTATACTCTACTGTAACTGCTGTGTGTTCCCTGTGACTCTATAACACACAAACACACACCCTTTCCCCGCACTGCATCTGAAGAACACTTGCCCTCATTGTTCTGTTTCCCCTGAGCACGCGCGCACACACACACACACTTTTGGCCCTGCAGGATTAGATCACTTAAAGACTTTCATGCATGCTGTGTAAACACACTTTACAACAAGTTCTGTTCCAAAACCTAGTGAGCTGCTCTGCTGCCTACTGCTTACAAATGAAACTTTTTTTAAAAGTCACTTTAGATTTTTATTTTTTATTTTTTGGTCAGGAATGTGATTTTCTGTATTTATATGGATTTCCATATTTGAAGACCTGAAGTATGACCCATGTCAATTGCGTAAATGCAAGATAAAAAATTGCTGTTTATTATTATTTTGTATAATAATAATAGTAGTAATTTAATACTAATTTTATTTTATAGTTCAATAGAATTATTGTATATGTAATATATTTTTATATTGATTTGTTTAATATTTATAATTTAAAAATAATAAAATAAAAATATTATTTTGAATTATTATGCCTATTAGTTAACATGCCTATTTTATATTTATTTTGATTTTGACTATTTGATTTATTATTATAATGGATTATTTTTGCACATTGCATTCTGGGATTGTCCTTACTGCAAAAGATAAATGCTATACTAATTTGGCCAAAAGTGCAAATCATTGAGATACTGTTACAGTTTTTATGAATATTTTTATTTTTATATTTTCCATTTTCATTTTCCTTAAAATTGTAGTAATTTTGTTGTGTGGTTTTGTCATATTTATTAGTTTTTTATGTCTTTATTACGTTTATTTCAGTTTTAGTTATTGTAATACATCAGCTACATGAACATGAACTAGCTGAAATTAAATAAGTTGAATTATATAATATTTTTAAAATATTATATTCTATGTCAGTTAACGTTTCAAGTAACAAAAATGTTTTTTTTTTGTGTGGATTTCATTAACTCTGAAATGCAACAAATTTTCTTTTGTGTTTCTTTTGTGTGCTTATGGTGTCTTAAAATGCTGTCTAGGTAGGCAGCTCACTAGGGTTTGTGACCGCTAGGTAATATCCCACATTGCATAATGGAGACATACTGTCTGAGATCTAAGGTTTCATTCTCTCCGTAGACAGTCGGCAGGGCTTTTGGAGTTGAGACTGCAACGTTAAATGAGTGTTGTGGGATTGAATTAAACAGATTGAATGGCTCAGCTAGACTAAAGAGAGTTGAATCTGGTGTGTTGCATCAGTGGTTGGTCAAACGTGTAGTATTGACTTACAGTGTGTCTTTGGTATGAAGGGAATCTGTTGGTGTGTTGTGTAACTAATAACGCCTCAAGCTATGTATTCTTCCCATTTGTGCAGCTGAAGTCACATTCTTGTGCATTTTTTACTACTTTGATGTCAACAATCCTCCAATAAAAGCCTAACAGACAGTGTGTGTAGAAAAAGAGAATGTGTGTGTGTGTGTGTGTGTGTGTGTGTGTGTGTGTTTGCACTTCATATGTGCTTTAGTTTAAGTTTGGCACACTTTTGTAGAATTGCAGCACACTCCCTCCTTACAACTCTAGTGTGCTTTACTGTTGCTCACCAGAAGGGGGCGATATGGAGGTTTTGGAAATCCAACCAGAGACATACATGGACGAGTGTAAAGGAATATTTTTTAGACATAAATAGTGTTTATTCGATTGTTGTGTGGCAGACGCCTGCTTGACCTAACGCTCTCTCTCTCTCTCTGTCTCGTTCTCTGTTTCAGGATATACTGCAGGAACACCTTATAAAGTGCCCCCTACTCAGACCAATGGAGCTCCTCCGCCCTATTCCCCATCTCCTAACCCCTACCAGACGGCCATGTACCCCATTAGAAGTGCCTATCCCCAGCAGAACCTCTATGCTCAGGTAAGACCCAATTCTAACCCGTAACAAGCTGGAATTACTCCACAAAGTTTTGTTGTGTTTTGACTAAGAGAGAAATCCAACTTGACTCTTCTACTCTTATTCTGCATCAGGAAAAAATTTTTTTATATTAATTAGCCTGACCTGAAATGACTTGAATGAGTGAATGACTGAAATGAGTCTTGCTAATAGTTACATGCATAGTAACATGCATTTGTTAATGCTACTGCAATAAAGATTACAGCAGTAATAGCAAATAATGATAGATCCCATTAACAGTGAAATCAATTCCTAGTTAATAAAATAAGTTCATTTATTCCTCATAGAATATTGTTTCACACAAATAATTCACATCACAAAAGTAAAATGGACTGCAAATGCTATTTGAGTACCAAAACGTACCATATTGTTATTTGAAATACTTTTGAGTGCAATAAATATTCAATATTATGGTTGATTTTTTGTAGTCTGCTTATACCCCTTATTTGCCACAGATCCAGGACTATTGGGATTTGTTCCCATAACACCCACCTTCACAATACAGTGAATCATCCCTTGAACCTGCAGCCTCTCAGCTCCCCGTCACCGGTCTTTTGTAATTTGAGTTGATCTTGTTCTCAGGGTGCTTATTACACGCAGCCAGTGTACGCCGCCCAGCCTCATGTAATCCACCACACCACCGTGGTCCAGCCCAACAGCATCCCCTCCGCCATCTACCCCGCTCCTGTACCTGCACCCCGCTCCAACGGCGTGGCCATGGGCATGGTGGCCGGAACAACGATGGCCATGTCTGCTGGTGAGTACATCGGCGCTCTGTGCTCAACAGTGAGGCGCCACGTCTGTTTGCAAGAACAAAAGAGAAAAAAAGTGCAAGGGTCACTTTATGCATTCTTGCGTGTTTTTGTAAAAGCTGCTTTTTTATCTTTTTATTTAATTTTGATTTTTTTTTTTTCTTCTCATTTTTTGGGGATGATGTTCTTGCATTAGGTTATTATTAATTCTTCATTGTTCCATATTTACTTCTATAAGAACTCCAGAATGATTTCGACCAATCACGATCTGTCTTTGTGTTCAGTATAAACGCTGGTGTGTAGGAATATCAGCACCACTCGGATCATAATCATCCACTTACGCTGCCAAATTTTATAACCTTTAGATATTAGCACAGGGTTCGTCTTTTATTTCGTTTTATTTATTTACAGCAGAGTTTCATTTCAGCCTTCCCAAAACACTTGGGAATCATTTAATTTCATCCAACTCGATTTTCCCTCATTTCGTTCTGTCATCGATAACAAGGGTGTCTTCCAGCTTGTAGCTGTTCATGTAGATTTGTAAGGAATATATCATTAGTACGGCGGTGCAAACGTGGTTTAACCTTCATTAGGATATCGAGTACGTACAGTAATCTTAGTTATTCACTAAATAGAGAACGTTTGAGTGAGCTGGTTACTTTATTAGCTTATGTGTCAGGATAGCGTAAGCTTCGAAACTATAACGTGTATATTCGATTTATATAAGTGTGCGCGCATGGGTGCTCTGGCAGGGAACGTGGCGGCATGCGCTCACAGTGAATATTGAGGAAAAAAATCAGTGGCACTTAGCTGGAGCCTCTGGGATGCGATGTCGATCCCGCTGACATCGAACCCGATCGAAACGTGTGCCAACTTTGAGGCCAGACAGGACGGACGCTACTCTGACGGAACGATTAGGATCGCATCCAATTCAAAGGGACTTTATGGTATCGTAGGTAGCACTAAAAGCAAAAAATAAATAAAAAAACAAGGGAGGGACGGCGTTCCGGCATTCATTTCCAATCAGCTCCGGCTCTAGAGTGGATATAACCTCTGGTCCTCTGTGAATCCTTGGGCCTTTAGGCCCGTAGTTGCACAGATTTTAGGCGTAGAAACGGAGTTGTTCAATGCAATAATACGAACGGCCTGCTTGAATGGCTTTTAATTGTAATTTACAGCATTTGTAGAGAGAGATAAAGAGAGAATTTTGATTTCCTATCCCGAGGCCTCGCCTGTATCCATGAATAGAAGTGACATATCAAGTATTCTATGAAATGTTATCATACCGAAGCATTGCACATTGACAAATAGACATAACTTAATAACCAATTATACGGTACACTCTCATATTTAATGATGTAATTAAGAAAATCAAGCATTTACTCTGCAAACCATTAGTCTTGGTAATGTCTCTGGAAGTAATATTATTGTCAGTACAGAACAGTATCACTCTTTTTGTTGTTTTGTTGGCTAAGCAACCACTATTTCAATATATAGTACACTCAAAGTGGGAAGAAGCGATTGTCTGATCTTATGTGAAAGTCATAACGTCTAGTAATGCATGTGTCATGCGGGTGAATGCAGTATAGTGTAATCAGATGGAAACTATGCCCTCGCAAAGCATGGTTGCATCATGTTGAACTGCAGCTTATGGATTGCTTTTAATAATACATTTACATTACAGCACATCCCCTTTGGTATTTTTCGTTAAAGTAAAGGGAGAGAGTGAGGACGCAGAGTGACTGAATCTCATGGGGGAAAAAAAGTGATATGTGAGCCTGGAGTAGTTGTATCTCAGCCAAATATTGTCCTATCCTAACAAACCATACATCAATTGAAAGCTTATTTATTCAGAAATTCAAAAATTTACATTTAAGACTGGTTTTGTGGTCCAGGGTCACATATATATATATTATCACATAAATGAAGTGAAGCCTTTTTTTTTTTTGCTTTATTTTCAGAATAATTAAGCTAATTTCTCTACATATTCTTATTACTGTAATACATCCTGTAGTTTTTTTTATTGTTTATGATTTTTATTAATCTAAATAGTGATTCTTCTTAGAATCTCTTCAATATTGTAATTTTTACTTTTTTTTTTCTTTTTTTTTACAATGTTTTTCATCATCAACAAAGGCAAGGGTAACAGATGTTACCATGATTCATGGATAATTTATCTAAATTTCAAAATGAAATTGTCATGAAAATAATAGAAAAATTCAATAATAATAAAAAAATCAAAAATAGGCTTCATTTTCTTTATGCAAAATATATATTTTTTTTTTTTCTTTTTTGGGGGGTGAAATACCTAGACATGTTCTTGACAGGTTTCATTAGATTCATCTGAAAATTACTAACTTCATTGCAGTATAATCATTTTCCTTTAGTAGGAGCAAATTTGTTTGGCAAAAGCAAGTAAAGCGAGTCAAAAGACCTTTAGTGTGTGTGACGTGTGTAACGATTGAATGCAAAGTAATGCAAATGAGTCAAACCGTCTCATTGGTTAATAATTGGATGAAATCGCATACTTCACAGCATGTTCACATACTCTGTCTCTGTTTTGATGACATATGAGGTCATCTTCCTGCACTCTCTTTCCTTTTCTGGTCTTATACAGTATTATATCAAGCAGTGAACTATATTTTCTTAGTGTGTCTTTGCATAGTGTCTTTGCATAAGTTTGCATCACAAGACTTGATTGATGCAATTAATCACTGTAGTCGACATATGAAACTCATCTGAAACGCAAGCAGACCGCCGTCAGACCTCTGAACTCTAGGACTAGAGTGACCTTTTACACTGCAAAATGAATAAAGGGTTTTGAATCCGAATAAGAGGACGTTACCATCCACTCTGACATGTAATTTAGGCGCTTTTTACGTAAGTGTTATTCAAAGTTTTAATTAATGATTGATGTTCATTTTTCTTAAATAGGAGATCTTTATAGTTGATCTGGAGTGGAGTGATACAGTCCATGTGGTTGAGAGGCATTTCAGAGCACAAGTCTTCAAAGGGTTTCCTCTTCCTCTACATGCATCTCCCCAATCTGTCTTTCTCTTCTACCTTTCGATCGAAATGACAAGGAGGACAGAGTTCAGCGATCTGAAGCTGCGATTAAAATCGTGGCAAACTTTTACTCAGCTTTTTGTGAAAATTAGATGATGTACAACGTTGTAATGCAGGGTCATCATGAATTTAAAGGGACAGATCATCCAAAAATGAAACGCTGTGCGAAAACATCTTGTTTTATGTTCCACTGAAGGAAGAAAAGAAGTCAAAATGATACCTGCACTTTAATTTTTGGATGAATTATTCCTTTAATCCTGAACAGTTGTATTTTCCCAATATCAAGACTCACCACAAATTATTCCAGTGAGGGTTTTTGCTGTATTTCTCCCATTTTAAAATAAATCGATCCATTTTCTGTGTGAAATCAGGTGGTCGTTTCTGGGTGTTTTTTCGCTCGGTCGTGGTGTGGAAGAGGCTTCGGTTTCCAGTTTTTTCTGTTTGGATCATTTTGATGTTGATATTGCAAACCCATGCACTGTTCTGTTCTTTGGTTTCAGGGCATCGATCAAAGGATTGTTTACTAGCGCCCGTGATGCATGCAACGGGTTATTAGCTCTGTCACCTCACCAGTATGTAAAGGTATTTCTTAACTAATTGTGGCACTGGTTTCACGCTCTTGCTGAAAACCTGTGCTATGTACCGTAGGCTTAAACGCAAACAAACGGGGGGTTGCTATTTCACGCTACTCTTTAGGAAAACAGCTATTTGTGTTTGACCCGTATGGAGAATAAGACTTCATTGTTTGCATTCTAAATGTAAAGCAAAAAGGGGAAAGTCTTCCAGAATTTATCTCCCTTCAGTGAGCCCTTACCCCATAGTCTGTATTACGCACTACTGCGTGGTTCTGGCACCGTCAAGATCTCATTCCTGCAAGGTTGTGGCAGGTCTGAGCATGTTTTCGCCAGTGCGGTCCAGACCGTGCCATTCAACCGTTTGAGCAAGGAGACCCACATCAGGCTTGTGAAATGAAGTGTAAAACTGTTTTTATTATTTTGGGTTTTTTTAATTATTGTTTTGTTTTGTTTTGTTTTTGAAGATCAGTTAGTGATCTCTGTGACATAATTAAGCCAAGTTTGTAATTGTATAATATTTACTGTAAGATGTAGAACATTCAATAACTATTAAAATCTTTCCAAAAAAACTATTGTTTTTTTTTCCCTACCACACACTCAAACGTATAATACTGATGATGGATGCTTGAATTTTTTTCTTCTTTTTTTTTATATGTTTGAATATTATATATGCTATTTTTTCCCAGTTGCATTGATAAAATAGATACAGTGAATTCAGGTTAATGGCAAAAACTTTCCCAAACTGTCCCAATATGCAACATATATATTACACACACACGTGTGTAAAATCATTTAGCTGAAATAGAAATCTTTTGTAACATTATAAAGTACTGTCACTTTTGATCAATTTTATGCATCCTTGCTTGAAGTATTAATTTCTTTAAAATAGAAAAATTCTTACTGACCCCAAATTTTTGAACAGAAGCATATAATGTTACAAAAGCTTTCTATTTCAGATAAATGCTGTTCTTAAATGCATATCACAATTATCTGTTTATCAAAGAATACTGGGGAAAAAAAATGTACGCAACTATTTTCAAGCAGCTAAGACCAGCAAACAAGTTTTGAATGACTTGTAAAATGATTCGGATGGAACCATTAGTCTAAACAGCTGAAGAGCTGCTGCCAACAAAAAGAAATTTAATAATTCTAAAATATTTAATCATTTTGCTTTACTTTACTCATATTTTAGAAGCAGACACCAGTCATTGTTTTAACAAATGTTGCAACAAACCCTGAAATGTGAATAAATCTCTTCAAGCTGTTCTAGTGTCAGCAGGTCATTTTTTCTTCTGCCTTTGGAAACAGTGGATATACTCGTTCCAGCACGGGTGGAGTCTGTTTCCTACATTCCCAAAGATCTT